CAAAAGAGGAAATCCAAATGGCCAACAAGCACATGAAAAAATGTTCAAGTTCACTAGCAATCAGGGAAATGCAAATCAAAACCACAGTGAGGTTTCACCTCACCCCGGTTAGAATGGCTCACATTCAGAAATCTACCAACAACAGATTCTGGCAAGGATGTGGGGAAAAAGGGACACTAACCCACTGTTGGTGGGAATGCAAACTGGTCAAGCCACTATGGAAGTCAGTCTGGAGATTCCTCAGAAACCTGAAGATAACCCTACCATACAACCCAGCCATCCCACTCCTTGGAATTTACCCAAAGGAAATGAAATTGGCAAACAAACAAGCTGTCTGCACCTTAATGTTTATTGCAGCTCAATTCACAATAGATAAGACCTGGAATCAATCTAAATGTCCATCAACAGTAGACTGGATAAAGAAATTATGGGTGATTTAATGCTATAACTAGTACTGAAACAGTATTTTTCACTTTGTGTTTCTATGTGGGTGCAAACTGTTGAAATCTTTACTTAATATATGCTAAACTGATCTTCTATATATAAAGAGAATTGAAAATGAATCTTGATGTGAATGGAAGGTGGGAGGGAGAGGGAAAGGGGAGGGTTGCGGGTGGGAGGGAAGTTATGGGGGGGGAAGCCATTGTAATCCATAAGCTGTACTTTGGAAATTTATATTCATTAAATAAAAGTTAAAAAAAAAGAAATTATGGGACATGTACTCTATAGAAAACTATACAGCAGTAAAAATCAATGAAATCTGGTCATTTGCAACAAGATGGAGGAATCTGGAAAACATCATGCTGAGTGAAATAAGCCAGTCCCAAAGGGAGAAATCTCATATGTTCTCCCTGATTGGTGACAACTAACCAAGCACCTAAAAGGAAACCTGTTGAAGTGAAATGGACACTATGAGAAACAGTGACTTGATCAGCCCTTGTCCTGAATGTTGATGAAAAACTTATTACTTTATCCCTTTCAGTATTTTTTTGTTCTACTTAATACTATTGGTTGAATTCTTTAATTAACACACAATTATTCTTAGGATTTCTTTCTTTTTTATGGTTGAGTAATATTCTGTATTGTATATGTATCACATTTTCTATATCAGTAATCAGTTGATGGATATCTAGGTTGATTCCATATCTTAGCTAATGTTAATTGAACTGCTATAAACATGGGAATGCAGGTAACTCTTTCATATGTTGATTTCATTTCCTTTGGATATATTCTCAGGAGTGGGATAGCTAGGTCATTTGTTAGGTGTATTTTTAGAAAGCAAACATCTTTTTACCGATCCCTCTGTCACTCTTCTGTTTAAAAAATGTTTTTTTATCTTCAAAAAAAATCTGAAATACCTGCTTGATGCAACCATTATGAAAACAGTATAGAGAGTCCTCAGAAAACTAAAAATAGACCTACCAAATGACCTAGCTATCCCACTCCTGGGAATATATCCAAAGGAAATGAAATCAACATATGAAAGAGTTACCTGCATCTGATATGGCCACTGATTTGTTTCTCCATTTTTGATCCAGCTCCCTGCTGATGGACTAGGAAAGGCAGCAGAGGATGACCCAAATGTTGGATCCCTGCCACTTCTGTTTGAGACTGGAATAAACTCCTGGCTTTGACCTAGCCCAGATCCGGCCATTGTAGCCATCTGTGAAGCTAACCAGTGGATGGAAGATCTTTCTTGTCTCTCCCTCTCTGTAGCTCTGACTTTTAAAATAAATAAACAAATTTTTTTAAAAAAAGGAAATATCATTCCCAATCTTGCTTATAATGCTTTTTTAAAAGTTTAATGACTAGATCATTTCATCTTTAAAATAAATATAAATGAAAATACACTTTTCTTTCATGATATCCCACTCCATATATACACTAGTTTATTGAAAGTCTTAAAAATGGCCGGATGCTTGCATTGCAGGCAGCAGTTTTACTTACTGCGCCACAAAGCTGGTTCTCGGATTGATATTTCAAAAACAGTTGACTCCCCACATATCAACTTCATAAAATATTGGTACTCGTATTCTAGTTTGAAAGGAAGTTTGGTGTACGTTTTTTATGTTTAATTAGGAAAATAGCATTTTTTTTCCCTGAAAAAAATCATCTTGACAATGAACTGGCCAAATTCTGCAAGCCAGCTTTCTTTTTCAATAGTTGGAACATGCTTCTCTTACATAGAACATTCTTCTGTGTGTTCTCCAACACCTCAGGGAGAGATGGGCTCTCCTTGTGTGTTAATACTTTGTGTAGGCCTTTGCCAGAGCCCTACCTAGATTGCATCCTTGTTTGTTAACCTTCACTTGACTATGAACTGCTTAGAATGCAAAATTGTTTTGTACTGATCTCTGTTTTCTGCCTCACTAGGTGTAACTCTGTGATGCAGGGACTAACAAATGTTTTCAAAGAAAAGTAATTCTCATTAACTTGCTTGTTTAGCCTTACACATTCAGTGTATTAAATATTTGTGATAGATTATGACTTACGCTAGACCCTGGGAAAACTGTGGTGAAAGGATCAGTGAAGTTCCTGTGCTCACTAGTCTTATGATCCAAAAGAAAAGATAGGCCTTGATTCAAGTTGATACAGTAATGATGATGAAGGCTATTATAGAGAGCATGGAATTCTGGGAGACCTGTATTAGTAATGAGGGTTTAAAGCTTCCCAGAAGAAGTGATGTTTAAGTTGGGACCAGAAGCATGAGTTGAAGCCAGGTGGAAAGGTTTGATACACTGTTTGGGGGTTGGTGGTGGTACAAGGGTAAATCTAATAACAGGAAGTTAACTTACAGCATTGTAAGTATTTTGGAGTGACTTTTCTCTTCCAAACAGTATTACCTGTCTTGCTTTTCATGTTACCTTAATGAGAAAAAAAACTGTAATAGTCATTTAAATGATGTTTCTCTGAGCATAGCTCTTTTGCAAGTTGTTCAATATTCCAACATTTTTAGCATTAAAAACATATAGTTATTTTTAATATGTTTTGTTTTAGTATGTGAAGTCAAAGTGTTCTACAAGTCTGTTGTAACTTTTGAATTCAGAATCACAGCAAGAAAAGATAATCTTGTGCAGATTCATCTGCTCTCTAAATTTTGGGATCAATTTAGTTTTTCAGTCTCCTTTCAGCAGTTTTGGATTGCAGAGCAGGACATAAAAATCACCCTTTTTATATCTCTTAGAAATTTCTTGAAAAATCATAGCTAATACTTGTTGAATGCTTTCCATGTTGAAACTGTACTAATATATGATAAGAACTATCTCATATGAACATCCCAGAAATCCTGTTAGATAAGTAATATTTTTATCCCTTCCCAATAGATAAGGACACTGAAAATCCATGCAACCAGAATTAGAAAATTAGATATAACAATTTGATCTCAGAAGTGTCTGTGAGTTTAGAGTTTCTAACTTGGTATTGCTTAAAGAGAACTAAATGAGACCTGTTAGCATGTTGAGAAAGCATTAGACGCTCCTTACAGGTTTTGTCCATTATAAGAAACAACTGTTTTATTTATACTAAAGTTTACAAATATGAAAATTAAAATATTTGTGAAGTAGATAAGATAGACCCTTTCATTTATTGGGGAATGACTATGATTTGGTAAAATTGTTCGCAATACAATGGTATTTCACAAAATTTGTTGAAAAATGGAATTAAAAGAAGCTTATTTGAATGTAAAGGGAGTCTCTTAACTGGAAACTTTTAAAAACAAATGAGCCGGGCTGGTGCTGTGATGTAGCATGTTAAGCCCCTACCTGCAGTGCCTGCATCCCATATGGGCACCAGCTCAAGACCCGGCTGCTCTACTTCTTGATCCAGCTCTCTGCTATGGCCTGGGACAGCAGTGGAAGATGGCCCAAGTCCTTGGGCTCCTGTACCCACATGGGAGAAACGGGAGAAGCTCCTGGCTCCTGGTTTCAGATTGACTCAGCTCCAGCCATTGCGGCCAATGCCTTTCCTTCTTTGTGTAACTCTGATTTTCAAGTAAAGAAATAAATCTTCAAAAAATTATTTAAAAAAAACCAAATGAGTACACATTACTTTTATAATAAAATGTATTTAAAATGAAAAGAGCTTTAAAAAAGTGGATATGATATTTTTCTATCAATTGTATACTATGAGGTAGTAGTATTTTTGAAACTAAGCTTAGGATATTGTTTCTTTTAAAAATTTTATTTATTTATTTGAGAGGTTGAGTTACAGACAGTGAGAGGAAGAGACAGAAAGAAAGGTCTTCCTTCTATTAGTTCACTCCCCAACTGGCTGAAATGGCTGGAGCTATGCTGACCTGAAGCCAGGAGCCAGGAGCTTCTTCCTGGTCTCCCATGTAGGTTCAGGGTCCCAAGCACTTGGGCTATCTTCTACTGCTTTCCCAGGCCATAGCAGAGAGCTGGATTGGAAGAGGAGCAGCTGGGACTAGAACTTTTGCCCATATGGGATGCTGATGCCGCAGGCAGAAGATTAACCTACTGTGCCATGGCGCCAGCCCCAGGATATTGTTTATTCATTACATTGATATAGGTTAAATCTGTCTTTGTTAAAATTTTATCATAGAGGTGCTTTCTCATTTTCTTGAAGGCTAGCTCTTTTCTAACTTCCACTAAGTCAGAAAGTAGAAAATAGCTCGATGAAGATTTACTTCATTTTTGTAAACAGAGTTGTTTATGATTGAAGTTTTAGTGATGAAACCTTTCACAGTAAATGAGATTCAGCAAGTGCAAAAGTTGACAGCCATTTTACTGGATGCTGCTAGTCAGTTGAGCACAATATTCTTGCAGGAAGATGGTATCATGCTTTAATTCGAGAGAATTTATCAAAAACAAATGTCAGTTTGAAACTTCATTGTTTATTAAAACACAACTTTAGTGTCAACTGATAATATTTTAAAATTATGCTTAGTCATGGAATACACTTGGAATTAGAATGGCTAATGAATGCTGAAATAAGCATAGTTGAAACTTAAAGTATAGCTTATTTGGGGTTTTATTTTTCAGGTAAAGCTTTGAAGGTATCAGCTGAGCAATTCACAGATGACCCCTGTCATCTCCCAAAAAGGGAGGCTGTTGTTCAAGCTGCACGTGCCTTGTTGGCTGCAGTAACTCGACTCCTTATCCTTGCGGACATGATTGATGTCATGTGTCTTCTGCAACATGTGTCCACCGTAAGTAAAAGATGACTTAGTTTACCTTGGCATTGTTCTTGCTTCCAATTCCATTCTCTGAGCCTGGCATCAATCCTGCTGCATCTTGGCCTCATCCTCATCTTTTAATATCACTCATCAGAAGCTGGCCAAATTGGGTTGTGAAGACTAATGTATACTTCAAAGAATGAAGCCAGAAGTGAGTCTTAGAGCCGCTGGAAAACTGAGTAACAGAAGATGGCTTACTGATAACAAAGTGACTAGGAGAAACTTACAAGCTTTTGACCATTTAAATTATTGTGCCCCATATACATATGAATAAAAACATAGCATAATTATGTGGATACTATATGATAAATATATACTTATAAATAATTTGCGTAAGAAATCTTCAAGCTTACAATGTTTTGAAGTTTACCTTAGTTTGTAAATGAATGCTACTTTGCCAGCTCCTTGTGATCCAGGATAAATAGTGAATGTTTATGGTTCAGTTGTGATGTCTAGGGTAATCTATTATGAAAATGTATACATAGGTTTAAATGAGTGAATAATATATTTCAACTAGGAGGATACAAAAATAGCAATATATGCAGCTTGCTTTATTTTACCAAACAAGTCCATATCATAGTTTTAGTAGAAAATTTCATTAACATCTTTTTATTAAACTTTCTGTATGTGTTTAGTTTGATGAAGTCATTAATAGTGTCCAGATGAAAAGGTTGCAAATTCTTGAAATCTCTTGTATTTCTTGCTTTAAAAAGGGCCTTATATTTTTGTCTATAAATACATCTGTTTTCATAAAGGTACCTGATGATTATAGTATGCCATCTGACAACTGATGACCTTATTTGATTGACCTGCTTGTCAAAATAATTTATTCTACTTGCTGAGCTAAACCTTTCTTTGCATCTCACTCATAATCACTTACTTTAACATTTAGAGTGGGCCTTCCATTGTACTTTCATCTTTTTATCATTTTACTACTATAAAAATAATTCAATGCTTTTTAACTCTTGTGACTTAGTTATTTGGTGAATAACCTTAGACAAATTTCTGAACTTTTATGAGATCATTTTTATCACATGTGATACAGACACTAGTTAATTCTGTAGACCAGAAATGAGTATGAAAGGTTCTGTTTCAGACTTGACTTGTTGAGATAGGACCAAATGAATGGCTTTTGTAAGGTGAAAATGGATACCTACGTAATCAGGAGGTAACTATATATATATATATGTTATATATATACACACACACATATATATGTATATATACATATATATGTATATATGTAATATATATAAATGTAAATATATATATTTAATTTAATATATATGTAATATATATATATGTAAAGAACATAACCAGCTTCATTACCATTTTAATTTAATGCCCTCTGAGTTGGGCACAGTGGTAGGCAATTCACACACATCACGTTGTTCAAATGAAGCAGGGGGATATTTGTAGATCAAATAAATGCAGAGTTCTACCTGCTGCAATAAAAATTATAGTTAACCTTTATTGAATATTTTACAATGTACCAAGTACTGTTTTGGTGTATCTCCTTTAATTCAGTCCTCATTATAGCATTATGATTATGATTCCTGTCTTACAGAGGAGAAAACTGTGGCCCATTAAATTTAAATAACTTGCTCAAGACAATAAGAAAAAATAACACTTTTGGAGCTTTTTTTTTTAAATTTTTAAAAAATTTTTTTAACTTTTATTTAATGAATATAAATTTCCAAAGTACGGCCTATGGATTACAATGGCTCCCCCCACCCATAACTTCCCTCCCACCTGCAACCCTCCCCTCTCCCACTCCCTCTCCCCTTCCATTCACATCAAGATTCATTTTCGATTCTCTTTAAATACAGAAGATCAGTTTAGCATACATTAAGTAAAGATTTCAACAGTTTGCTCCCACACAGAAACATAAAGTGAAAAATAATAGATGATTTTTAAATGATGATGAAATTAGATCAGACCTATTGTCATGTTTAATCCCAGTGAGAGTCAAGTTGGGAGTTGATAATTTCTTCTTTTCTTTTTTTTTTTTTTTTTACAGAAGATCAGTTTAGTATACACTAAGTAAAGCTTTCAACAGTTTGCACCCCCATAGAAACACAAAGTGAAATATACTGTTTGAGTACTCGTTATAGCATTAAGTCTCAATGTACAGCACGCTAAGGACAGAGATCCTACATGAGGAGTAAGTGCACAGTGACTCCTGTTGTTGACTTTACAAATTGACACTCCTGTTTATGGCATCAGTAATCTCCCCATGCTCCAGTCATGAGTTTCCAAGGCTATGGAAGCCCCTTGAGTTCTCCGACTCTTATCTTGTTTAGACAAGGTCATATTCAAAGTGGAGGTTCTCTCCTCCCTTCAGAGAAAGGTACCTCCTTCTTTGAAGACCTGTTCTTTCCACTGGGATCTCACTCACAGAGATCTTTCATTTAGTTTTTTTTTTTTTTTTTTTTTTTTTTTTTTTTTGCCAGAGTGTCTTGGCTTTCCATGCCTGAAATACTCTCATAGGCTTTTCAGCCAGATTGGAATGCCTTTAGGACTGATTCTGAGGCCAGAGTGCTGTTTAGGACATCTGCCATTCTATGAGTCTGCTGAGTATCTCACTTCCCATGTTGGATCACTCTCCCCTTTATTTATTCTATCGGTTAGTATTAGCAGGTACTAGACTTGTTTATGTGCTCCCTTTGACTCTTAGTCCTTTCATTATGATCAATTGTGAACTGAAATTGATCACTTGGAATAGTGAGATGGCATTGGTACATGCCACCTTGATGGGATTGAATTGGAGTCCCCTGGTATGTTTCAAACTCTACCATTTGGGGCAAGTCAGCCTGAGCATGTCCCAAATTGTACATCTCTTCCCTCTCTTATCCCCACTCTTATGTTTAACAGGGATCACATTTCAGTTAAATTTCAACACTTAAGAATAACTGTGTATTAATTACAGAATTAAACCAGTCATATTAAGTAGAGCAGACAAAAAAAAACTACTAAGAGGGATAATGTATTAAGTTGTTCATTAACAGTCAGGGCTATGCTGATCAAGTCACTGTTTCTCATAGTGTCCATTTCACTTCAACAGGTTTCCTTTTTGGTATTCAGTCAGTTGTCACCAATCAGGGAGAACATATGGTATTTGTCCCTTTGGGACTGGCTTATTTCACTCAGCATGATGTGTTCCAGATTCCTCCATTTTGTTGCAAATGACTGGATTTCGTTGTTTCTTACTGTGGTATAGTATTCTGAAGAGGGAACTTAGTACTCTAAAAGTTAGAATAGCTTTAACTACAAATAGCTTTTAGAAATGTGTAGATGCGTTCATAGACTTATAACAGGTTAATAAATGAAGCTGAGTGTGTCAACATCTTTCATTTTTAAAAATGATTTATTTTATTTATTTGAAAGGCAGAGTGACATGGGGAGAGAGAGAGAGAGAGAGAGGGAGAGAGAGAGAGAGAGAGAGACTGACTTGTTGGTGCCTTAACAGAGCCTGTATTGAGGGTAGATGATTTAAGTTGTTTATTAGCTTGTGTACCACAACAATGAGACTTCATCTATGAAAAAGGAAGTGGAATCTTATTAAAGAGAATGGAAGAACTTTTGTGGTGAATTTTGATTTCTCAAAATGATTTCATCCTTAGGAAACATTAACATATACAGTGGCCTTTCATATCCACAGGTTATGCAGATTCAAACCAACATGGATTGAAAATATTTGAAAAAAAATTGCCTCTCTACTGAACATATATGGATATTTTTGTTATCGTTATTCCCTAGGAATATAATAACTACAAATTATTTAGATTATATTAGGCATTATAAGTAATCTAGAGATGATTTAAAGAGAATAGGAGTATGTATGTAGTGTATGTAGGTTACATGCACATGATATAACTTTTTTTTATAATGGATTCGAACATTTGCAGAGTTTGGTATCTGTTGAGATCCCCATTATACTGAGGGATGCTTGTATATGAATTATATTATCAACTCAGCTCTTTCAAGGTTTCATATAGAAGAAGATACCTAATATGTTTTTGAGATAATCAAGATTTCAATTATTTAGCCTAGCATTTCCAAAAATCTATTTTATAACCTGTCCTATAACATTTTTAATTTGAAAGGTTTTTTTAATAGTCAATGTTGAAGCAGAAATTCTCTGAAATTTTTTTGACCCATCTTACCACATTAAGGTTCTTTGCTGATTGTGCTGGCACTGTGGCATAGCGGATAAAGCCTCTGCCTGCAATGCTAGTGTCCCATATGGGCGCCGGTTCAAGTCTCAGCTGCTCTACTTCCCATCCAGCTCTCTGCTATGGCCTGGGAAAGCAGTAGAAGATGGTCCAAGTCCTTGGCCTCCTGCACCCTTGTGGGAGACCTGGAAGAAGCTCCTGGCTCCTGGCTTTGGATCAGCGCAGCTCCGGCCATTGTGGCCAACTGGGGAGTGAACCAATGGATGGAAGACCTCTCTCTCTCTCTGCCTCTCTTTCTCTCTGTGTAACTTGGACTTTCACATAAATAAATCTTTAAAAAAATTCTTTGCTGAGAAATATTGTAGCAAAGAACCTTATGTAACCTTGTTTAAACCAGAGTTTCCCAAAATGCTTTTTGACCCTAGAAATCTTCTATAATATATTAATCCTGCAAGTTTTAAAGCTGTACTTTGGGAAATACTAGTTTGAGATTTCTCTAATAATGTGTATGGTAATATTAAACTTCTACTTGGAATCAAAAGAATCATAGTGTTTTTGAAGAGACAAATGGCAGAATGGGAGAACATGTTTGCTAACTCTGCAATTGATAAAGAATTAATATCCAGAATCTATAAAGAGCTCAAGAAACTTACAACAACAAAGCAATTCAGTTAAGAAAGAAATGGGCTAAGGACATGAACCGGCATTTTTCAAAGCATAAAATACAAATGGCTGACAGACACTTGAAAAAATGTTCAGGATCAGGGAAATGCAAATGAAAACTGCAATGAGGCTTTA